TACCTACCTACCTATCTACATACATACATACATACATACATACATATATATATATATACATACATATATATATATGTATATATGTGGGTTTTCAGGGTTTCGTAAAGCTTCAATCTGCTGGCATTTTGGGCCCACCCACTGTCTTGAGAGCGATTAGGCCACCAGTCGAACTTGATCATCAACCCAGCTCGGCCTATCTTTAACCTTACAGCCCTAAAGCAATTTCAACCTGAAGTCCTGAACCCTCAACCGGGCAACCCTAAAACCATATACTCCAAAAACCCTCAACCGCACCCTACAACCGCACCAAAGCACCCTCACACCCTGAAGTCTGAATCTTAAAACCCGCGACCAAGCCGTGAATCTTGAATAAACGATAGCCGTACCCCCCCCTTCCTAGTTCCAATATAGTTATACAAACCTGAGACCACAAAACCCGAGTTTAACCTGAAACCCCAGTAACACGAAACCATAAACCCCCCAAGAGCTTCTTCATAAAACCATCCAGAGCCTGTAAAACCGTATAAACTTAGGCTGTAAAACCGTATAAACATAGGACTAGACACCACCGGAGCCGGGAATCAAGCTCTTGCGCCCTGTAGGACCATGGCTTTGCGTCCAGGGTTTCAGGGTGAGAGCTCAAAGTAAAAGTTCAGGGGCGCAGGAGTTAAGTTGCTTACGGTTTGTGGCTGATGGCTTATGCTTAAGCCCTAACACCTTAAAGCCCTAAAGCCCTAAACCTTTTTGGGCTTCGGGTTTGGGCTCTAACTGTTCTGAGATGAGGTGGGGCAGATGCTGTGCTCCTGGCATGGAAAGAAGACATTGCCGCTGGCATCTCAGAGTAACATAGGGCCTCAACAATTACAATGGCCTTTGTTTTGTTTTAACAGGCTGTTAACAGGGTCTTATGCAAAAGCATGTACATACATACATACATACATACATACATACATACATACATACATATATATATATCAGTTTGTTTTGTGTGTATGCAAGTAAGTATGTGTGTGAAAATCTATATCTATACCTATATCTATATCTATATCTATATCTATATCTATATCTATATCTATATCTATATCTATATATATATATACATACACATACATACTTATTTGATTCAGGCCCCTATCTGAGGGTTTGGCTGCCAGGGCTTCGACATGTAGAGCCTCACTAAGAGCATCGGCAAGCACTAAAATATTACTTCACTTCCAAAGGGGTGTTCTTAGATGTTTAGGGTTCAGGGTTTAGGGTTCTGGGTTTAGGGTTTAGGGTTTAGGTTTCAGGGTTTAGGGTTTAGGGTTTAGGGCTCCATTTCTGTTGGGATGTAACGGCTGCATGTCAGGGACTCACGAGGCAATCCACAGAGCAGCAACATGCATGAAGTAGAGCTTCACGGGGGTAGAGGTTGCAGATTGGGAAGTGTCTGTGTCTGTAGAAAGATTGCTTTGTGGGCTTGTACTCTGGTGCATATAAAATGGCTTATGCTTCAAAGTTTCACCTTCAGTAGGACAGCATGCGGGAGCCGCAAGTTTAGGGTTTAGGCTCAGTTTGAGTAAAGCGGCTGTGTTCCTCCAAACGATGGCTCAAGCAAATTGCTTTGCGCGGCAGCACAGCTCCTCTAGGGTTTTGAGCTTTCTTTGGGGATCTCGTTGAGGCATTCAAAGATCTAAAGCTAAGCCCAAGCCGACAATTGCCCACAGCTGCCTGGATGAAATCCCCCTCAAGTGCGCCCTGTGGACTGTAAAGCTTCCCCAGGAAAATTTTCTGAGCCCCACGCCTTACTAAATGCCAACCCAGGATTTGTGAATCCTAGGTCAACCTGAAAGGTTAGAGGTCTGGCGTTTAGGGTTTGTAGGGTTGGTACGGCCGATGATCTAAATCCTGCATTACCCATGCCGAGGAATAGACCATAATTCCCATAGTTTCGGGTCCTTAAGGTAATGCAGGATTTATATCATCAACCAAAACCCCGACCCCTTAAGGCCCAACTTCGATGCCCAAAGCATTTCCTAGCTGCCACCTCTTTTGCACGCTCGAGTTTCTTACTATGAAAAGACTAATTACAATGTGTTACACGGGTTTAGGGCAAGTTTAGGGTTAGGGGGTTCTTTTGACTTTCTTGCTTTCGTGTGTCGAGCTTTCGGGAGAACTTGAGTACCTTAAGCTACCATAACCCACGTTTTTTATAGGTCTTGTTCTAAACCGTTACAGAGAATTTATTATATGGACCCCACAAAAAGCAGGTCTTGCTAGGTTAAGGTAAGGCAAAATCTAAAAGTGACATGATTCTGCTCAGATTCTCCAGCTACTGGCCGGCGAAGCAGAGCCTGGCGACGAAGCACGGCGGGTGGAGTGGCTCCTGGCATGGTTTGTGCCCCGAAGCCAATCCTAAACCCTAAGCCCTGAACCCGAAACCCAATCCTAAGAAGGCAACAACGATGGCTCTCCCACGCGTGGAGATGCCATGCAGAGATCCCCTAAAAAGCAGCTGGATCATGCTCACAGGGTATGCAGAGTGCCCAACTTGTCCCTCGATGCCGGTGGTTTTCACGGCTCAA